TGTACAAACGCTGACCCGTGTTTCTCTGCATTCATGATGCTTGACCTGCATGTAGCAGGCACACACACACACACTCACACACACACACACACACACACACACACTGGCGGCCTTCAACAAGAAGCTCTTGTGTCCCGCTTTATTGACCCCCTCTGCGTCTTTTCCCGAACAGCATATTAAAGGCTCCGTTCACAGCCGAACTCGGTGCTTTTTGAAGTGGTGGAGGGCTGCAACAGATCCTCAAATATTGACTCCTAAGCCTCGCGGAAGAAGAGAGCAGCCGGGTGGAAAAATGGGGAGCAAAAGGGCAGAGGCTGATGGAGAAGGAAGTTTGGTTTTGCTCTTATTCAGGTGACGCTATTCAGATGTACCAAAGCAAGCCTGAATATCTTCCTGTCCGTGGCAAATGTATTTTAAGAGGAAGTATGCTGAGATAAAGCCTAAGGCAAGCCTGAGTCTCCATTCACTTCCTGTGCCGGTAAAGTCAGGGTCAGAGCACACACGCCTGGAACTTTTCTATGCAACACTGGCCTCTTTATTGAAGCTGACGGAAAAAAGTTTGTTGCTGTTTGCGCTGCCCGTTCAAGTCGGGGGGTAAACAGACAATCCACCCCGCCTGATGAATGTTTTTGCCTGGCTCATCCAGATTTGGGACAATTCTTCTTCATGTTGCTCTCCCCCTCCTCCTTCGAACATGCTAGCACATGTCCCAACACAAACAAGTACGCCGCACACACCGGCCGTTGTTCGTCTCTGTTGTTTGTCTGTAGATCAACGCTTGTATGTCGACGGAGCTGTCCCACTTGCTGCTAGACACTTTTTGACCTGCAAAGACGTGCCCATTTGTCCACGCCGCGCATGCTCTACTTCCTTATCTGCTTCCTCGTCGGCTTGATATCATAGCTAACAGCTTTGACAGCTCGGGCCCAGTTTGTCAGATCTTTTTCCTGCAATAATTGTAGTTTGAAACATGTACAAATATTCTTTCTGAAATGTAAGCACCCTGTAGTGCAGCGCCTTAGTGGTCAGCTTGCTTGAAGTTCCAAGGTTCGCGGTTGGAATCTTGTCCCCCCGGCCTTCCTCTGTGGCGTATGTTTGCCCCTTGTTTGTGTGGCTTTTCATCATCTCCGTTCGGCTTCCTCCCAACATTCCAACAACCTGCTTGGCAGGGTAAATAAAGGCTAAATTGTCGAAAGCAAACAACCATTCACACTCGCCGTCACAGAGTGTGAATGGGTGTTTTTGAACATATGTGTCCCGTGAGTGATCTGGACACTCTTTGAACTCATCACGCGGCTCTGTCGTTGTCGTCAATGACAGTTTTCGGCCATTTTAAAGTGCATTTTTGGCAAAACGGTTGTTTCGTGTGGCTGGAAGCTGTTCCACTCATTCTGGACAAGGTGTAGGAAATGCATCACTTCCTTCAAACCCAGCCTGTGGGAGGTAAACCCCCGATAAATGAACTAAACGAAGATATCATCGTGACTTTAAACTGATTAATTCAGAATTTTTATCGATGTCGGTGTATCGGCGGATGTTATCGGCAGCCTTGATGCTACCAAATTCCTTAAAATATTGGTGCTCGCCCATCCCCACGTTTTCTCATTGTTGCCAAGTGGCGACCTGCTTTTACAGAAATAAAACAAGTTCAGGAGCTCAAAAATAGCTATTGACAGATCGAATGTAATGAAAATATAGTAACACAGACATCCATCAATTTCCTAATCTGCTTTTCCTCAGTAGGATCTCGGGTGTGTGTGCTGGAGCCTTACCCAGCCGTCTTCGGGCAGTAGGCGGGGGACACCCTGAACTGCTTGCCAGCCAATCGCAGGGCACACATAGACGAACAACCATCCGCGCTCACAATCAAAATCACCCGAGGGACAATTTGGAGTGTTTTTTTGGAATGTGGGAAGAAACCCATGCAGGCACGTGGACAACATTTAAGCTCCACGCAGGAAGCCGGAGCTGCAATCGAAACATGCACCTCTGCACGCCGACGTGCTAACCAGTCACCCACCGAACCCTAACACAGAAATAATTACAGTTACTATTTGGGCAGAAAAACACACTGAGGACACGAATCTAAAACGACCCAGGACCACATGTTGTTTTTACGACCTGTCATTGACTCACCTTTAATGGGACGCACTCTTGGATCCCGTCCCACCCAGTTGAGCATCACTAGCCTAACCCCTGGAATCTACAACCACAATGCTAAACACAGCTAGTGCTGTTTGATTTTGACATACATTCATCCACGTGAAAACATCGCAGTAACCTTATAAAGAATTTATTCGGATATAGGACAAACATATCCGTTTGCACATGATCGGAGGACGTGAGGTCGAAGCACTGTTCTGCTTTTCGGCGCCAACCGCCACGAGTCTCAACCTTAAGTGAGATGAGCTCGCACTGTCACAGTTAACGAGATCATCCTACTGAGAAAAAAAGACTGCATCATTTCTAGGAGGCGGCAAGAAAATGGGATCAAATGTGAAAGCCTTTGAGTAGATCAAAGCCCTACCTTACTTGAATTCCACGGAAAGCGTTCTTGAGTTGGCGTCGAAATGCCAATGGGTCTGGATGACGGCGAGTCACTCTCAAGCTTTCAAAAACGAATCGTCGCGACGACTTATACAACATTATGCGTTGATTCCAATCAGCATTTATGCTCTCCTTAGCCGCGCCACGACGTACATCGCACACCCTTGACTCGTCACTTTATTTGGAGACCTTTAAATGACCATATTTGTGCGAGACAACACAAGTCTTTTTGGATTTGACATTTAAAGAAACCAGAGTTGAGCGGTCAACAACCGCGAACTGGGAATGTGACAGGAGTTATAATGAAGAGATTTTGCCGGGGTCAGTGGGAGGAGAAAGTCATCTTGACTTTTCTCCCTTAGCTTGAAGAAAAAAAAAAACCTGCCATGGGTTTTCCTCACAACTCGCCTCTTCCCGCCGCAGCCTCTCAAGTATGACGCTCGTCAGGCTTGCCCGCAGGCCTCGCTGCTGGCCAAGGCCTCCTTATGAGACACTGCTTCACTTTCTTCTGGGGTTTAAAATATTATCAAAAACACTCTGTGTGTGTGTGTGTGTGTGTGTACAAACTTGCTCAGCGAGCAGAATTTTTTTCCTCAGGTTATTACCCATGCCCTTTTATGTTTGTCTGGGTGATGAAGGGCTAAATGACAAGATTTCGTTTTGAGGTTAGGGCACCGAGATAAAACCGGCAACTTTGTTTGCCACCAAGATATTGATGTCGCTTGACAGGTGATATTCGTTACTTCCACGGTCTTGTACTGTATGTTTACGTCTTGCCGGGGCTCGCGCTGGAATCCCTGTGGGAGCCCTCATTACTCCGATGGCTTTGCCTCATACAACCGAGGCCTGTGATGATCTCATACTCGAGTTCATGAGCGCATGTTTTTCTGGTGTTGTGGCTCACTTGCCTGAATTTGTAAGTTCCCACTCTGTGTGAATATGAGTGTGAATGTTTTTTTTTTTCTTCGTGTGTGCATCCTGTGCAACTTGTGCAGATGTCATGTGCTTTTCTCCCCAAGTCACCTGGGATTAGCCCAAGGTCCCCACGACCCTGAACAGGATGAGTGACATTGAACATGGACAGACCTGCAAAGATTTCTGTGCAGCCTCTGCTGAGTTTAATGTTGCCTGTATGAGACAATGCGCTTGCAGGCATGTCAGACGCGTCCATCACCCCCTCATCATAAATGTCTAAATGTGCCTCGCCAACCACAATCCTCACAGCTCCAGGCCTCACAGCTCATGATCAGCACATGATGTCAGAGTGGCCGTGGCTTAGGTATTAGCTGTAAAGGAGTGGGGGGTCGGGGGGGATAATAGAAAAAAGTGTCAGAGGGATGAACGTGACCTTGTTGAACTCTTTGTTGTCGTTTCTTTTTTTTTTTTTAAAGAATCACTGTCTACTGCATCCTCATTTAGCATGCCAATTGTGATCTTTGTTCAGTGAGTAATTACCAACATATTGTAAAAAAGTGTGTAGAGAGAGAGAGAGAGAGAGAATCAAACAAGTTTTCAAGTTGTTTAATATCCACAACCACAGCAGTACGTTATGTCTGTGGCAAGTGGAACATTTCCCCACCATATCCAGCAGGTGGTGCTGTTGTGATAATAGCTGACTCCGTTTACTCGCAGAGCAGGAACAAATTTTTTTTCGAAAAAGAAAAGGACCACATATCTATCTATCTATCTATCTATCTATCTATCTATCTATCTATCTATCTATCTATCTATCTATCTATCTATCTATCTATCTATATATATATATATATATGTAGCCTTCTACTGTAAGTGGTTGGCGAACTGTCTTCATGTTAACCCCACTGATGGTGCCTAAAAAGAGATAAATGCCAATCCGAGAGAGAGTTGTGGGACTCTTTTTTTTCTCTTAAATTATCTGGCCACTATGTGGTTGCCCAGCAACCATTTTACATTGCAGGGTGGTAAAATGAAAGCACAAATTTCATGTACTGTAGCTCCAGCTTTCATTCATTGCATCAGGGTTTTCCCCTTGGCAATTTCCCTTCTTGGAATCAGTTCACTGCACGTCGGTCTTGAGAACAGGAAGTGATTCTGATTTTCTATGTTATATATTGTCGAGCAAAATATCTGGATTCCCAAGGTGGTGACAAACATGTGCAGAGGATTTGAGCGCCGGCAAGGGAATATACGATACGCTTTGTTGAGATGTTAGCCATAAGGGCCAGCGACTACTGTACTGTATTTGAATTGGAAGGGACCTTAGAAGAAATGTATATACTCTACTCTCCTCTCTCCCCATGCTGCAGCTTTCACAGGCTTTTTTAAAATTTATGTTTTAAAAACTTTTGATGAGCCTCTTTCTTTCCCATCAGGCACCCTCATTTTACGGAGAGCTTCATTATCTCGGTTTCCTCAAGTTGCAAGTTGATGGAGTCTTTTTCTCTTATCTCCCCCTACTGCTATCCTTTCCACAGGCACCTTTGAGGTTCTGAGGAGGCAGGCAGAGAACCACACCAACGCCCTGCTGCAGGAGTCCTACGGCAACATGGCTGCTCAGGCCGAAGGTCCCGTGGGCGAACTTTTCACCGACATTAGTCTCTTCCTGCTTGGGTCTGAGCTCAACGTTGAGGACTTTGTCCAAAGATTTTTTGATACTCTCTTCCCGATGGTATTCAATCATTTTGTCAACCCGGGCCTCGGTGACCTCTCAGCAGGCTACACCGAGTGTGTCAGGTCATCGGGCCGTGATGTGAGGCCATTCGGTGGGACGCCTGCTTTATTGGCTGATCAGATTGCTCGATCTGGGGTGTCGGGCAAGCTTCTCGTCCAAGCTTTGCACCTCGGCATTGAAGTCATAAACACGACAGACTACTTGCAGTTGAGCCGTGAGTGCAGAAAAGCCTTGCTCAAGATGCATTACTGCCCCCATTGCCAGGTAGGATTGGACTGTTCCCAAATCTGTTGATTGATTTGAAACAATTCAGACTGATCCGCAAATCTTATTTTTTTTTTCCACAGGGCTTAACTCAGTCCAAGCCCTGCATGGGCTATTGCCTCAACGTGATGCGGGGCTGCTTGGCAAGTATGGCGGAGATTGACGTCCACTGGAGGGAGTTTGTGCACTCACTAGAGGAGCTGTCAGCTCGGATGCACGGACCACAGGATTTGGAGCAAGTGCTTCTGGGAATTCACACATTGCTGCACGATGCTGTTGGATTTGCGCGAAAAAACGGAGCCCGTATCGCAGCACAGGTCAGATCCACTCGGAGGGAATTTAGAGGGATTTATTCAGTATTTGCTATTTATGAAGGAACAAAAGTTCAACTCCAGAAGTTCTTCTTCTTAATATGAGAAATGTCTCACCATGACCCCTGTAAAGTGCAATAAAAGCATGAATATACATGCTCATTAAAAATTCTACACGAAATTAACAGTTCTTATGAAGACTCTAATCAGATGCTGGAATACCTAATAAAGTGACAGTGGATTCTAACATCTGCTTCCGACGTTTTGAATAATTTCTCTAAAGGAGCATTGACAAAACCTCAGAAATCTCCTTACTCTTAACCAAATTGTATGTAAAAATGCCACCCACAGCTTGGAAAGTTGTCTTTGCAGCCCAGGATTACATACAATATCGCCCTCTAGTGGGTACCTAGTGACATTGTGACCTAGTGACACGAGCCAGGAAATGCTCAGCTTTGCATCGCACCCACCATGCTCACAGTCAATCACGATTCACAGCAGTGCCTGTCCTCCTGAAGTGTAGCATGAGTTCCACATCCACCTTACACACTAACAAGTGTCTGTCTTTGTGTACATTGGATGACAGGTGCACAAACTGTGTGGGCCTCCCACCAGGAAGCCTGTGCAGACAGTCAGCATCCAGCACAGCAGCCAAGAATCCATCCATTTAAAAACTCCAATCAAAGCGTCAGATGACTCACTTGCTGTGAGGAGAAGGCAAGTACAAAAAATAGATCATGATAATAAAAACTAAATGTCCAAGGCATAACATGACCATACCTGCATAATGTTAATGAGATCCTAAAGTTTTGATGATTAGGTGACAGATGGTTTTCTTGTAGCACGTTGAACGTATGATGTACCTGTAAATCAGTTTCCTGTGTGCTTACATCCGTTTGATTTTTATAGGGAGTTTCTGAACAGTCTCCGCCTCTACCGGACATACTACGGTGGCCTTGCAGATCAATTGTGTGTCAGTGAGCTGGCCTCTGATGATGGGTTGTCCTGCTGGAATGGAACCGACATTGTGAAAAGGTTTGAGTCACTCTTTGTCTGTTGCGCATGCTAGGATTTTATATACTGTGTTTATATATATATATATATATAGAGAGAGAGAGAGAGAGAGAGAGAGAGAGAGAGAGAGAGAGAGAGAGAGAGAGAGAGAGAGAGAGAGAGAGAGAGAGAAAATGGACAAATGAAGCTTCATGAAGTACTTATAATTTTGGACTCCTTTAGATGGCAGTCTTGGTTTAAAGATGCAGTGGAACTTTTAATTCATTTCCATGAGACAAGCTTTGATCTTTAAACCAAGAGCACCATCTAGAGTTGGAAAAAAATATCGCAAGTGCTTGATGAAGCTTCATTTTCACGTATATATTTGTACAGTAGAGATGGGTCGATATAGAGAGAGTTACTCAGATGAAAGATGGTGCTCGTAGTGAGTGATGAAAACATAACCTCAGCGGAGGTTACATTATCTAAATGGTCATTCATACTGTGACAGCTTCAATTTAGCCTCATTTGCACAGTGTCAAAGGTTTGCTGCCGTGTCATCTCCTCGGGAGATCTTGACATGAGTGGGTCATTTGCACACTCTTTGACCCGTTTTGTAGACACAGCCCTCCATCACCCCCAAGCTGACACTGATGTCGGGTCCCTCCATTATGTGGACATAGATCTTGGGTACGAATGGTCGTGAAGTTGAGCAGACAAACTGGCCTCCTCCACCGCATCGGTTAGCCGCCTTGTCTCCATTACATCACAGCGCTGTGTCATATGTGCTCACACAAGGACCATCTCATATATCCTTAGTCTGGGCTGGATCGCTCAGCTGTCAGCCACTGCACTTGCGACTCAGGTTAGGTGCTCTCCTGTTAAGACAAGCAACCCGAAAAATAAGAAAACAACAAAACTTCTTTCAAGGAGTCCTGGCTTGTGCACTGCAAGGGAGCCAAAGCGTTTGATCAGAGTTCCTTTTCCTTCGGTTGTATTGTCCAAAATAGCACCTCAAGTTTCCATGACAAAGGTGACAGCAGTCCCTAAGACGTGGGTTGTTTTCTAATACGGGGAAGAAACGTCGAGCGGCGGGCTGCCCATCATCACTGCCTTCAGCCTGCTGGGAAAATGTTTCTCTGTTGTCGTTGGCCCGCCTGCCATTTGCCTCAGGTTTTCATTTTTGGTGTGCGTTATAAAGAGACAGGAGATAAGGCTTTTGGAGAGAGCAGCGACTCAATTGTCGTCAAATCCTCGCTATACTGTTAGCTGACTAGTAGCATCGAGCGTAAATGAGTGGCTGGGAGTCAACACAAGCTGTGACAAATGCAATAAATAACCTCCTGCCTATGGGTCATAAGACAACATCCACAGAGAGAAGGGAATAAAACTCATTGCCGCATGGTGGCTGATTTACAGAGGTTTAGCGAGGCCTCGGCGACCTGAAACGATTGCTTTGGTCCCCGTGTGTGTCTAAATCTGTACATATGAGTATGTGTTATAACAAATGGCCGTGCGCTGCGGCACAAATTACTTTATGGTCTTAAAGTGGTGGTGGCAACAGCTTTGTCTTATTTAATAGAAGAAAAAAAAAAGGAAAAATGGATTAGCACGCAAACATGACTCAGGAAGCTGAGATTTCATGCATGTCCTCATCTGGGTCGGTGGTAAACAAAAGAAACTGAGCTAGTAGATAAGATCGGAGGGGAGGAAAACAAGCAGCTTCGGTCTCGCCACCTTTGTGAGTGAAGAAGATGGTGTCTCACTTCACTGGAGATTTGTTCAACACATTTTTTTTTCTTTTTCGTTTTATGTCTCCTGGCCTTTGTCCTTGCATGCACCTCCGCAAAAGTGATTTTATCTAAAAGAAAAGAACTCACATCTGTTTATTTTAAACACATTTCAGTGCTGTGCTAGTTTGCTCAATGCATAGATTGGTCTCAGAAAGTCAACGCGGAATACTTGCAGAGCAAAACGTTCGGTCTGAACATTTGCTAATTAGTATTTTTTACATGTCAAGAAGTGGGGATGGCAATATCACAGCATTCCTCGGTATTGATGCCAACATCATGTTGCGAAGAATAATACTGGTTGGAAAAGTTGTGCCATGGCTGAGGTCTGCATGAATACAACTCAACTTGCTGAGTTGCATTCGCTGAGATTGTGTTATTTTTTTCTTTAGGACACCAAATCACCAGTGCCCCTGCTGGCAACGAGGTGCACTGCATTTAGCCTCTGTTCAGATTAGCTCCTCCCACCGTTGAGGAGTCAAAATGAACACACCCTCTTTTGGTTCTCACGTTTCGGATCAAATCTTGGCTCGAATCAGTTTTTGATGTCAGAAACTTTTTCAAATTTTTGCACAGCAAACAAGCGTTTGTTGTACGAATTATTTTCGAGCCACGTGCGGCACTTTGTGTGCAGCGGAGGTTGTTTTAAAGTGCTCTACAAACACATTTGACTTTTAAAGAAGCATTATGCCAAAGTGTTGTTTGTAATACAATCCCACTTCTTAATGGGTAAAACGCATTATGCAGTTTTCATCCCCCTTGAGAAGCCGTGTTAAAATGTTTGAATGAACCAAACAGGCGGAGAGAGACTCCAAAATAGAACACCTCTCAGCCTCTGGATAGAGAGGAAGGAGGCTGTCCTCGCCTCATCTGAAAGGTTAACACATTCCCACATGCTTTAACTATCCGTCATGGATACAAGACACACACACACACACACACACACACACACACACACACACACACACACACGCACACACGCATACGCATGCCGAAGGAATGGCTGGAGGCCATGAGCTGCCTCCTTTTTGTGAGTACACACTTTTTCACTCACATGTCAATTATAGTGGCAAAGAAAAATAGCAAAATCCACCTACCATTTTCCCCTTCTGGGGTGACAAAGATAAACTAGCTTCCGTCCTGGGAAAAGAACTCTCACGCCCCACATTTACTTGCTAATTCCCGCTAAAGTCTCACTCTAACACTTGAGACGTGCGCAGAGGGGAGTCAGTTTGTTACTTTGTACCAAAGTATGTTTTTATCCCCTCGCCCCCACACCTCCATTTCCCGTGCCAATGGAGAAAGTTTTTGCTCGTCTAAAAAAATAAGCTGGATCCTCAACAAGTATGTTAAGGAGTCTGATGTTTAATTCATGATGATCTCTGCTGCTTTCGACTCGATTTAATACGGTCTGTTTCACCGCTGCCAACGTGCTCCAGGTGTGAGTTGGCCTGTTTATATTTTCAAAGTTCTTGATTCTAATTGAGTCCAACATTTTTTATTTTTATTTTTTTATGATAATCAGGCAATTGACCTTGCATGTTGTTGGAATGCAGCAGTAGGAGGAATGAATCCTTTTGCATCTGTCTAAATGATGCTTGATGCCTGGTGGGCGCATCTTCAGCATGGCTTCTCTTTCAGTAGGCTGTGCTGCATGCTGGAGTGGTTGTCTGAGCGCTCACCTTTGACCTTTCAGCTGTCTTTGCTCTCTGGGAAATCCTGAAGAGTTTAATCACACGTTAATAAGAGCCGCTTTCGTGCTGCCTCTTCTTGCCCTTCCCCCCCCCCCCCCCCAAGAAGCGTTAATGAGCTTAGGTTATCTCCAGCGTTGAGGTTGTTGCAACTCGTTGGAATAAAAAAATACATCTTACTGCCTCAAATAAACATCACAGCTGGTTAACTTTGTTTGGGAGCTATCATATATCAATGTGAAGTCTTCAAATATGAATCAACCTCCCGCAAAAGATTTTGCATGTCGTCCTGTGAACCGACGCTTCATATTAAAGATGTAAATCTAAAAAGCCTTAGGGCTTGATTTTTTTTTTTTGTGCTGCTGTAGTTGAGCGTGACCGGCAGATGGCGCTATGTACTTTGGCATATGTACACACAACAGGCCGGCGGGTTGCCGGTACTTGGGCGGCTTCTGTGAATCCATTTGGATGATGTACACCGCGGTGTGGTGCTTCTTATCTGTGCTGTCATTGACCCTGACAGACTGCTGATGAAATTCAAGCGATACGTGCTGAATGTCCAAGTCTCGCCCATCTCCGCCGCCATTTGTTTGCAATGAGGAATTGACCTAATTTTGAACTGGGGGGGGGGGCGACAAGCTTTTAGACATATGCTGTCAAATATATTATGCAGAGCTGTCCTCTTAGTCACTCTCATGCGGCGAAGTAAGAGACGTCTTCATCCGCCGCACGGAGAAGCTCGGTGCAATAAATGTGAGATAGAATTCCAGGTACCTCTCAAGCAGCCAGCTGTTCAAAAATGTCGATTTAACTAAAGCTGAGAGATTTCCTCGGAGCTTTCCCGTGAAGCAACAGACTGTCTTAGCGTCTTGTTTAGGACTCCTCTTCCTAGAATGTGAGTTTGAGTTGCAATCAAGGTTTTTCACTCAGGTTACATTCAGTTGTGCACCAGGGCCGAATAAAGCTAATTTGGACCACCGCAAGATTTCATACGTGGACACCCACAGCTTGCATCTGCCTGAAAGATTTGCACCATTGACAAAGTCCAAATCAAGATTTAATGACTTGGTAAATGAATGAATGTCTTTGTTGTCATTGCAGTTTAAAAAAAAAAAAAGTTAGTTTTTTGTGTGTGTGTGTTTAAATCTGCTCACGAACAAAAGCATAACCTCCTTGACACCAGCCTTGTGTGAAAAATGTTCCTCCATGGTCACATTTGTCATGCTGATCTCAATTCGAGACACGATCGGAGACAAGTGCGCACGTGTGGACGTGGCGAAAGATGAGACGGAGAGGAAGAGGGGAGAAGGGGACCTTCTCGAGGATCTCCTTAATCACGACAGCTGGCCACTGGAGATAACCACAAAACCACTGGAGCACTCGAGAGCTGGGTGCCGCTTGGCTAGAGTTCCACTCCAACATGACCTTATATCCTGCTTGGGGTTTAGACGCCGGCACTTGGCCGCAGCACCACATCCTGACGATCATCCCAAGTGACAGAATCAAGACCTCTGGCAGGATGGCGGGATGGAGCTCACAAGCCTCTCTATACACACACGGA